TTTACACCATAAGGGCACTTACAGGCTCAAGGACACTGCAACAGGATCTAGTGCTAAAACTCACCACCAACCAAGACACACCCACCCACGGCCACCGGAGGGTGCCAGATCATTGGACTGGGCACCTTCTCAACTGGTCTAGGAGACTGTTCTTGACCTGAGGGGGAAAATATCAGATCAAGAAGTGTGCATTTGCTGGTTTACTGGCGATGCTGTGCCCGGTGGAGGTTCCAGGGTCCTGGGTCAAGCCCTGCTACAAGCCTGGAGAACTGGGACAAGACCTCAAGCAAACAGAGCCTCAGGAAATCCCTGCTTGGGCTCTGTCTGAGCTGAGGTTTCAAATTACCGTGACTCAAGGAGTGAAACCCATTAAGGAGTCAAGACAAGGGAGATTAAGAACCAGATTGGAGTGGCAGAACCCGTAGAGAAGTCAGATAAAGCCAAGAGAGCAAGAAAAAAGATATGACCCGTGACTAATGGCGCCCGGGGAAGGCACTTTGTCATAGCATCTGTCCTGAGGGCTGCCCTCTGGGAGTGCCCTGCAAAATTCAGATTAGGCTGCAAAATTATTATTTCAATCTTAAAGTAAACTTTATTGATTAATTCAACTATGCACCAAAATGATAGATATTAAAGCACCAAGTTATAGTGAGTTCTATAAAAAAAAATTTTAAGGTGAGTTGTTTTAGCTTGTCTCTTTATTGCTGTGACAAAACACTCTGACAAATACCAACTTGGGGAGGAAAGGGTTTATTTAGCTTACATCTTTCCAGTCACAGTTCATCCAGGAGCTCAAGGTAGGAACTCAGGGCAGGAACCTGGAGGCAGGAGCTGGAGCACAGGCCATGGAGGACCGCTGTTTACTGGCTTGCTCCCCTGGCCTCTGCTCAGTCTGCTTTCTTATGCAACACAGGCCCACCTTCCCAGGGGTCGCACCACCCACAATGGGCTGGGCCCTCCCACATCACTCAACAATCAAGAGGATGCCCCATGGACATGGTTCAAGTTCAGTCCAATGAAGGCAATTCCCCAATTGAGGCTCCCTCAACCCAGGTGAGTCAAGTTGATGCTAAAGCTATCCAGCACATGAGTAAATATGTAATTTTCCAAAATGTACAAAGTATTTGCCAGTTATTACTAAAATCACACTTTTTTGTGTGCCACCAGAAAATTTATTATGGTCTGAAGTTATAGAAAAAAGAGAAAGTAGTAGTCAGAAGTCTAGAAACTAGTTCACAAACATTTTGGGCTGCAGAAATATGGATAATATTGAAAAAATAAAATAAAATATTTTGTGGTGGCACATCCTGATAATCCCAGTAATAGGAAGGATGAGGCAAGAGAATTTCATGTTCAAGGCCAGCCTGGACTACAAAGTCAGATCCTGTTTCAAAAAATCCCAAACAGGCTATGCATGGTGATGCATACCACCACACACACAAAACAGGCAAATGTTAAACAACCAAGCAAACAAACAAAAAACATTATTTGTATTCCCATCTGTCTTAATTGATCTTTGAATCTTATTTTTAAAACATAGTTTCTGAGTGTGTTCAGTTTGATATTTTATCTTTTACATCCACTATCATCTCACAAGTGTCTCTATAATAATTTTTTTTGGTTTTTGGTTTTTGGTTTTTTTGAGACAGGGTCTCCCCCAGCTGGCCTGAAACTTGCTATGTAGACCAGGCTGGTCTTGAACTCACAGGGATCTGCCTGCCTCTGCCTCCTGAGTGCTGGGATTAAAGGCATGTGCCACCACGCCCAACAATAAGATTTTTATTTTTTTGTCTTTTTGAAGCAGGGTTTCCCTGTAGCCCCAGCTGTCCTGGAACTCACTATGTAAATCAGGCTGGTCTTGAACTCACAGGGATCTGCCTGCCTCTGCCTCCTGAGTGCTGGGACTACAGGCATGTGCCACCATGACCTGCTAATAAGATTATTTTTAATGACTACATATGGGAATCATGAATTTTATGTGGATATATCACAAATTACCATTGTTGAATACCAAGTTTGTTTTCAGTTACAATTGAACTAAGGTAAATACTTTTATGCCTAAACTCAGATTCACATTTTGGATTATATCCTTAGAAGCTATTCTTTTAATATGTGTGTGTGTGTGTGTGTGTGTGTGTGTATATGTGTGTACTGGGGCTGGAGAAATGGCTCAGGGGGTAAGAGCACCAACTGCTCTTGTAGAGGACCTGGATTCAATTCCCAGCACCCACATGGTGACTAACAATCATCCATAACTCCAGTTCCAGGGGATCCAATGCCCTCTGTCGTCCACAGACATTGCAGGACACAGGTGCACTTACACATGCAGGAAATACACTCATACACATAAAATAATTTATTATTTATTTATTTTTGTGTACATGTGTGTATATAATGTGTGTGTAATGTTTGCCTATGAGGGCATGCACTTGCCACTGTGTGCATGTGAAGGTCAGATGACAACCTCGAGTGTCCAGCCCTGCCTTCCACCTTGCTTGAGACAGGGTCTGTCTTGTTTTCCTCTGCACTGTGTACTTCAGGCAAGCTTCTGGGGGAGTCTCCTGTCTCTGCTTCCCATCTTACTGTAAAAGTCCTGGGATTACAGATGGGTCCCAATGTCCTGCTTTTGCATGGGTTCCTGGGATCCGGACTTAGGTTATCAGTCTTGCTCAGTATGTACTTTCACACAGTAAGCCATCTTCCTAACCTTCTTAGAAACTGTTCTTTTTTTTAAGATTTATTTTTATAATTTTTTAAAGATTTTATTTATTATTTTTATTTTATGTGTATGCATGTATTGCCTGCATGTAGGTAAGTGCACCTGTGTTGTGCAGTGCCCATGGAGGACAGAAGAGGCTGTCAGATCCCCTGGAACTGAAGTTACCAACAGTTGTTAGCTGCCCTGTGGGTGCTGGGATTCGAGCCTGGGTCTTCTGCAAGAATAACCAGTGTTCTTAACTACTGAGCCATCTCTCCAGCCCCCTATTTTTATTATTTTTTTAGTTATGTGTATATGTGTGTATGTCTGTGTGTGCATGTGTGTTCAAGTGGCAGGCAAGGCCAGAAGAAGAAGGGTGTCGGATCCCCTGGATCTGGTCCTTTGGAAGAGCAAAAAGCTCTCTTAACTGCTGAATCATTTTTTCAGTTCCTTTAGAAGCTGTTATTGAGAATGAAATTAATGTCTCAAAAAGCCTGAGCATTTTAAGGCTCTCTCTTTTTAAAAAGTTTTTATGTATTTATTTATTTTTATTTTGTGTGTATGAGTGTTTTGTCTTCATGCATGTAAGTGCACCAAGTGCATGCAATGCCTGAAGAAGCCAGAAGAGAGCATCTGATCCCCTAGAACTGGCATTACAGATGATAACAGACAGTTGTGAACCTCCATGTGGGTGCTGGGAACCAAACCCAGGTCCTCTGCAAGAGCAGCCAGTTAACCACAAGGCCATCTCTCCAGTCCCATTTTATGGCTCTTAACACACAGGTCAAATTGTTTTATAGATAATTCAAATCCACTCTCCTGTCTGTAGTCTTAACAGTGTTGGATATTGTTTGTTTAAATCAATGGCCATGCATTTGACAAATAAAACTAGTAAAATTATATTTTCTATAATTTTAGCTATCTGTATATTAGCCATTGTGAATTATCCTTTCAGATTTTTTTTATCTAATTTTCAAAACTTGGATCACAATGTTTTCTTAGAAGTTCATTTAAATGCAACTCACATTAAAGATTTCAAAGTGTATTATTTTCTCAAATTAAATACTGGCATTTATTTTTAATATATCTTGCTATAGGAAATATACTTTTATTTTACATATTTACTCGTTTACTTATTTATTTGTGAGACAGGGTCTCATGTTTCCCAGGCTAGTCTGGAACTTGTTGTGTAACTGATGATGACCTTGAACTTCTGATCCTCCCTCCTCTAGCTCCCCAGTGCTAGAATTACAACCTGTGCCCCCACAGTTTATTTTTATGTGATGTTAAGAATTCAACCCAGGGCTTTGTGCATGCTAGGCAAGCACTCTACCAACTGAGTTATATCTGCAACCCCTAATGTTATAAGATTTTTCTCTTCTTATATTTAATCCTTTAACTCAGCAAGATTCCCTTTGTAGGTTATGATATAAGATGACATTCAGTGTACTCTTATAGAAAAACAACATACTTGTGACAAAGCTCCCTTCTAGTGAACTATCACCACCAGTGGGTCTTTCTGGTAACTGGGATCTCCTTGTCTTCCTCTGGGTGACTCTGGCTCCATGCTAGGTGCTTTTTCGAGGTGCTGTAAACACCAGACATTGGATTGTTTTATTAGATGTGATCACAGAAGGATTCCCCCAAACAGAGATATTTCCTGTATTCTCTAGTACTTTGAACAGGAAATCCACTTGACCCTTCATGGTCTAACTTATAAGAGATGGTAAAGACCAAAACCTCAGCTTCCCTAGTCTTTAGTGGTCCAAGTACAATACTACCAGATGCTGGATATTTGAAGCTTTCGCTTTTGTACCTTTAAGGAGGTCATGTGAGTCTGTGATTCCTATTCCCAGGTAGTTGATAACAACAATGTCAGCTTCCTCCCCCAAGGAATTCCTGTAACCAGAGGCATGACTCTTTTATCCTTGCCCAACATGGCCACACTATGCCGTTAAACTGCATTGGTTTCAATGGTGTAGGACTGTTTTTGGTCAGGTAAGCCAGAGTTCAGAAAGAAGTGTAAGTCTTCAATTGCTACAGTGTTAGATCCAATTCTGTGTTTGAAGAAAACCTTTTCTTTTTGTCTCTCCCCCCCACCCCCCTTTTTGGTAAGGTTTATTTTGTTTCAGTGAAAGCAGAGGCTGCAAGAATCCCAGGAATAACTTAGTGCCTCCAGTGAACCTGGCTGAGTACAAAGTGCAAGGACACCGTGTAGATAACCACGGGGATCTCTGACACAATTCTTGGACTTGGCCTGGAGTGCTGCTACAGCCAGTGGCCAAAGAGCCCAGTTCATGAGCTCATGTCAGATTGGAGCTATATCCTCAGAGATTGTGCAGCTGCAGCTCGACTTCCCCAAAGCCACACGGGATGCTGTTCATGAAATGACAGAAATTTCGTGGACAAAAGGTAGTGCTGGGACTTGAGCTTAGCAATCTTTGAAGCAGTCTTTCCTTCATTTTCCTTCCAGATCTGGGTAAAGTTGGAGGCTCCTTGAAGTTTCTATTTTGCAAGAGATCAGAGATCAATTGAAGCAGATAGTGATCGTAGTTGAGAGACTCATAGAAGCAGTCATCCTACTGAGGCAGAGTTCCATATTTTTTATTACAAATGGTACTGGGAGCAGGATGGAGGCAGTAAGAGAGGCTGATAGAAACTACCACAAAAGGTCTCTGAGACCTACTCTTCCCTGACAGTCTATAGATAGCTACTTGTTGCTGGGGGAGCGAGAGACATTTTCTTCAGTGCTGTAATCAACTACTGGTGAGGTGCCTGTGTGCCTATAAACGACCCCTTACCCACGCTCACACAAGCAACCTTAATTAAACTCATTGGGTCACACAGAAAGAACTGTATGTGGGAGAGGGACTAGTTGAGAGCAGAGAGGATCAGTTGGAGGGTGAGACTAAGAGAGTGCATGGGGGAGGGGCACGTGAATATGATCAAATACATATAGCTAATATGTGCATTTAATAAAAAAAATTTTTTTTAAAGGTCTCTGACTCTGACTCTGGAAATATACAGGGAAGATCATCACAGTGCACCAGATCTATTGTATGGCTCATGTAGGGAACAGGAACACTCCTATCTTCTGTGTCTAAAAGCCCTTTCCACTAAGATAAGCCTTATACTTAGCCAGAACTCTTGGAAAAAAAGATCATAGGTGAGACAAGGTTTGGTTGAGAGTAGGGTTGAGAGGCACAGGCTCTAATGATGGCAGAATTACGGTAATGGAGAAGGAGTACATTTTCCAGGACATAGTTAGTCACCGGCCTCTAGTAGGAACCAGAAATCTAGGGAAAACATTCACACAGAATGCTTCTCGTTTCCATTCATACTGCAGTTGCCTGGTGTCAGGTGAGAGAGACCAGTTAAACCAGAGAAAGCTGCCTGAGGCCCCTGAGTTCATTGTGATTTCAATCTGAAAACTGGAATCCACAAACCTGAGCTCCAATGGGAAGCAAAACAGCGGCTCCTGTGCTTAAGGACTGACTAGCCCATGGGCTGAGAACCAGGTGATCCCAGGGACACAGCCCAGCAGACCATCTGGTAGGTGGACAGCACCTCTCTGGACCAGGCATGGAAAAAGAAACCTGCCTTCTCAGGCAAGGCCAGCCAACCAGTCTGCTAATCATGGAGCAAATAGAAAATGCCGACTGGTTGAACTGAAACATACCTCACTGTATTTGGCCAACTGTTTGGTTTAATTAAGCAGATATATTTCCAGACACATTTGTCTCCATGGTCATTTTTAAACTACATTGAATCTTAATTCAGTCCTTTTTAATGATTACCAAAGAATGGCATTGCAATTGTCCAAGTTCCTAAAAATCTTTCCATTAATATAAATGAATTTATTTATTTCCCTAAATAGGCAAAGCCATTGGTTACCATTGAATAAAACCATCATATTTATTTGGTTTATTTATTTTTTATTTTAATGTATATGATTGTATTGCTTGCTTGTAAGTAGGTGCACCTGTGTCATGCAATGCCTGTGGAGCTTAGAAGAGGGTGTTAGATCCCCTGGAACTGGAGTTATGGATAATTGTTAGCCACTATGTGGGTGCTGGGAATTGAACCTGGGTCCTCTGCAAGAGCCATCAGTTCCCTTAACCACTGAGCCATCTCTCTAGCCCCCAAATCATCATATTTATTATATCCTCTGAAAACTAGCATGGGGTGGATTTAGGCTTTGGTGAGCTGTCTTCAGAATAACGTTTATGATAACCTTCCGTCTACCTACCAACTTCTCAAGGAAAAGTTGAGCTTATCACATTTTGATGATATGCTTTTTTCATTTGTGTATATAGGTATAATATGCCATAACTGTGCTCTTTATAGATTTATAACTTTAGGTGCTTTGCAAGTTATAAAGGAGCAGATTTGCTTTGATCTATCAACCTTCTGCCAGCAGGGCCTAGATTGGTGAGAATTCCTCAATCATACACTATATACTATGAGTAATTTGTGTAGAAAATAAATGTTGGGGCTGGAGAGATGGCCCAGTTGATAAATTCTTCAATGTCAGCATGAAAGCCCGAGTTCAGATGCTCAGCACCCATCTAAGAGCTGAGCATGCTAGTACATGCCTGTAATCCCAGTGCTGAATCCCAGGAGCTGAAGCCAGGAGGATCCCTGGGGCTCGCTGATCAGCCAGTCTAGGTGAATAAGTGAACTCCAGGTTCAGCAAGAGACCCTGTCTCAAAAAATAAGGTGGAGAGCAATTGAGGAAGACACTGAAGGTTGACCTTCAGTGTGCACTGGTCTCTGTGTGCACCCTCGCACAACCCATGTACACATATACATCAAATACAGATACAAAAAAAGAAAAAGACTAAAAAGAAAGGTAGGAAAGATGGAAGGATAGAAGGATGGAAGGGAGGAAGGAAAGTTTTAAAAAGATAACAGAAATCTGGTGCTGGGCGTGGTGGCGCACGCCTTTAATCCCAGCACTTGGGAGGCAGAGACAGGTGGATCTCTGTGAGTTCAAGGCCAGCCTGGTCTACATAGCGAGTTCCAGGTCAGCTGGGGCTACAGGGAGACCCTGTCTCAAAAAGACAAAAAAAAAAAAAAAAAAAAAAAAAAAAAAAAAAGATAACAGAAATCCAATGAAATTAATACAGAAGCTGGAGAATCTGTTTGGCAGATAGGAAGCAGGGTCATTCCGGAGGCTCGGGGGCAGGAAGTCCTTGACAGTTTGAGCACAGAGCACCAGGACAATAGATAAGATTTTCAGTGTCTAGGTCATGTCATCCAAGATTCATTTCCCAGGAAAGGATAAAACCTGACTTAAGTCCCTTCATGACCACACAAAAGGGGGAAGGAGTTGTCCCAATCTGAGTGTTATCACCAAAACAAGCCCTGTGTGGCACTAGAGCTCTGGATTCCCTCTGTCCTAAATTGTTCTAGTCCTGAATGTTCCAGTGACTCATGCTGTCCTTCAATGGCTTTGGTGGCTCTGCCAGAATTGAATTTTGAGTCCTTACCTCTTCTCTCTGTCACCAGGGCCCTCATTTGTCATAGTTCCCCTCTACTGAGCCTGGATATGATGGTAATAGCAATATTCACATCTAACAGGAAAGTCATTTGGTTTATGAAAATGATAGTCTTGTTTTTAGGACCCCTCAAATGCCATAGGGATCTTTGAATTTCCAGTTCTTCAAGTAAGAGTATTTGAGTATCTGTATGATATACAGTTTCTTCTTGTCTAGGACACTTTCATCCTACCTAGGGCATGCCTTTAATCTTATTCTAACCAGCATCTTCTCATCTTCTCTTCTCTCTCTCTCTCTCTCTCTCTCTCTCTCTCTCTCTCTCTCTCTATTGTGTATGTTTACAGCATGCATGTGAAGGTCAGAGGACAACTTGCAGGAATCAGTCCTCTCCTTCCACCATGTGGATTCTGGGGATCAAACTCAGGTCATCAGACAGCAAGTACCTTTATCCACTGAGCATCTTGCCAACCTGAGAATTCTCTCCTTGATCACATTGTCTTTTAGTCAAAGGTTGTCTCGGTCCTGTCTCCCTGTGCAGTGTCTCAGGGCTCATACTAGTCTTTTATGCCACTTCTCTTATGATATAAGAACTCTTGTTCCCCTCCTCTGACATCCTAGAAACATGCAAATAAAGTCCCTAATGCAACGAGTTTGTGGATCAGTTTGTGAGCCAGTGTGCAAGGCAGATGGTTGTGAGGCTCCTCTATGGCACTTGGAGGCTGAAGACTAAACTTAGATCACAGGCCAGGGTACATGGTAGGGGTTGGGGTCAGCTCAGTGAAGATGAATTGTTTGAAACCCCAGCTTGAATCCTGTAGCAACAGAAAGCAACTAATCTGCCCTTCACCACATAGGGAGCCATTCTGATAAGAATCAGCACTGTGGGAATAAGGTCAAGAGTCCAGAGGTCTTGCAGGGCTGAGGAATGTGTGTTACAGGCATTGAAACTCTAAATGCACTTTCCCACAGAAACACTGTTATAAACAGTGATCAGGGTCTTCAGTGTTATTAGTACAATATTTTAGGTACATTAGGGAACTGTAAGCTTTTGTGGGCTAGCGTTGTGTTAGAGCTACCATTTGTAATACTGTTTCTATAGAAAAACATGTTCCCAGTTCTAGACGACAGACCAACAAATAAACTAATAAGCTAGGAATTGCCTATTTTGAGGCTTTTCACCAGTAAATACAATAGATTCACTGAGTTTATAGCCTTCTGGTCTAAGATGCTGGCTGTGAGCCCAGAAGCCTCTGCTACGCCTCTATCGCCTCTCTGCTCACTGTCTAGATTTAATATCCCCCAAGCCTCCCGAATCCAGCCAGCTCTGCACTCCACCCCAGGTCCACCTACAGGCATATACTGGGGTAAAAGCTGAGTATCTTTCATTCTTAATTTTTCCTTGAAAAAATTCAGAATTATGAAAAGATGCAAGGATGTAATGTGTATGTATGTACCCTCAGAAAGAAGGTATCACATCTGTAGTTGAAGTCCCCAAAGCTGCCCCTGTCTCATCCCATCTCCTCTTCTATTCTAGACATTCCTAAAATCAGTGGCTATCCTGGCTATGCAGATTCCCATCTAGCACATCCACTCTGAGTGTTCCCTCTACTAGCACTGTAGTGATACAGAGGGCAGGAGATAAATCAGTCTGGATAACATGGTCAGGTGGTTCTGGGATGGGAGCTCAAACTGTGTTGTGGAGATGTCCTTTTGGAAGGTAGAAAAAACACTCAGTATGTGTCAGGCCCATATTCTCAGAGGCTGCTGGGAATGCAGGCTAGGAAGAATGAGGACAGGGTGTCTCTCTAGCTGGGTTTGTCTAGCCCGGCAGATGGTCTCTGTCTGGCAAATGTGGAACCAATGCCAGGAAATTGGCAATCATGGAAAAGGGTGGGTGAGAAAGTCTTACCACAGAGGCCGCTTTTCAGAGCCTAATATTTCCAGGCTACAGGAAAAGAGCAACAAGGGATCCAAGTCCATTCATTTCTTCATTAATGCATTCACCTGGCTTCGTCCCAGGCAATGTACTCAGAATTAGAGATGGAGGGTTATCAATAGGAACACGAAATGGTCCCTGGCATGAAGACGTTCATAGGTCAGAAGGCATAAAATTTATTTACAATATGATATAAGAAGATGGAGGAGGCTTCTTGGGCTCAGTGAGGTAGGCTGGGTGTTAGTGTAATAAATAGTCCAAGGTGCAGCTTCATAGGGAGATATCAGAATATTTGGTGGGGCAGTGGAAATGGAAGGATCTTCTGGTTCAAAGAAAGGCAACAAAGTGAAGAAATTCAGAGATTCAAATTCTGAAGATGAACAGACAGGTGGCTACAGTGCAGCAGGGGTCCAGCACTAGACAAACGGGATACCAGACGTTTGCAGGTCTGCCTGTAGCTACTATTCTAGATACCACCTTCCGGACACCACTGCTTAGAAACCACAAGCCACTCTAACCCCCATACCTCTCTTCACTTCTGCCTCCTTCTACTCTACCAGACATTCTATTTGTGTCTTTTGGAACCCCTGTCCGTTGAACAGATTCTACTTCCTCAACTTTTTCACTGTGCTATTTATGACTGGCAACTTTTCCGTGTATCTACCTAGCTCACAAAAAAACCTCCATAGCACTCTTCCCACTCATAATGGTGAGTTTGTGGCACTTTATTCAATATGCCCAAGATATTCCTCCCCTCATTACAGTCCTCCAGTCACCACTGATCACAGATGACTACAATTGGTTTTGGTTAAATGCAACCAGAAACCTAACTAATCTCCTTCACCTTCTAGCCTGAACTGAAACCTGGCCTTCCCCCAAGGTCACCACTTCCCCTGTCCTCCTTTTAAGTAGAACCTATTTGTTCTCCCACGCCCCATAAGTACGAGCGGCTTTCTTCTAGTTCTTTAAGACCCTTCAAAGCAATTCTTTTTTGTTCTAATATGAAAAACCTCTGCCCCACTGAGGACCATGCCATTCAACCAGTTGCCTTCCCTCATTTCATCTCTGTCACTGACCAACCCTACTGTACCCTCGAGTTCATTGGACACCTGGCTCACTTCTTTATCCTGGGATGGAGAAAGGAGAGACTTTGCTGACTCTGTGGACCACCCACTCAATGGCCAAGCTTCTTAGTTCCCTGACCTTTCATACTCAGAATCTTCACTTACAGTCCACTTTACTGGAATCTGGTGGCCCCACCCTGCCTTTTATCACCACTGGAATAGTTCTACCTTGGAAATCTTAAAACATCACTGTAGCCATCTAGCTCTTTGTGCTGACACAATCTGATATACTGAGGCCTCTGCGCACTGTCAGTGTGTCTTCATCCTATTGGATTATTTATTTATTTACTTGGGGTGGGGGGAGTGCAGATGCCACAGGCTTTCAGGTGTCAGATTTCTCCTTCTAGCCTGTGGGTCCCTGAGATCAAACTCAGGTTGTCAGGTTTGGCAACAGACGTTTTATCTGCTGCATCATCTCCCAGCCCTGGATGAACTTTTTTACTTGTTTTCTATCAGTTTTCTTTCCACTTTCATCCCAGTCCTGACACACCTTCACTATTCTTCCCAAGTGACTGTCCTGTGATTTAATTAATTTAGTTATTACTATTATTCAGTATCTATTTATTATACATCTGCTGTGTGCCAGGTACAGCAATACAAAGGCAGCTTTTCCTGAGGTCGCGGCCTAGGAAGGAGGCAAATCCAATAATCACCGCATAAGCATAATTACAAACTATCATAAGACCTGGGTGTGGGGCTGGAAGACAGAATGCATTTCAGGAAGAAGAATCAGCATGAGCAGAACCCAGAGGCAGAATGGAGTATGGCTTGAGGAAGTGAAATAGCAACAACAAAAAAGACCTGTATGGTTGGAGACCAGAAGGCCAGAGAGTGGAACAGGGTAAGGTTGGGTAAGAGAACAGGACAGGATCTGCATTTTGAAACGACCACTGTCAAGGAATGACTAGACAAAACACAGGGGATTTTTCCAGGCCATGAAACTACTCTACAGGCCATTATAATGGCAGATAATGACATAACATATCTGTCAAGACCTGCAGGACTGTGAAGAGTGAACCCTAATGTAAACATGGACTTTATTTAGATAATAATAAAGAATCAGGCTGGGCGTGGTGGTACACACCTGTAATCCCAGCACTTGGAAGCAGGAGGGTCAGTAGTTCAAGGTCATTCTTTGATACATGGCAAGTTCTAGGCCAGCCTGTGCTAAATGAGGCTCTATCTCAAAAAACAGAAACAAAAAATACCATACTAACACAGATGTTAATAATAAAAGAAGCTAAGTTAAGTAGGGAGAGGGTATAAGAGATGTGGTATGTGTGCATTTGTTTGTAAACCCATAAAACTACTTTAAAATTAAAAAGTCTATTAATTAGTTAAAAAAAAACAAGGCAGGGGCAGGAGAGATGGCTCAATAGTAAAGAACACTGGCTGTTCTTGCAGAAGACCGAGTTCAAATCTCAGCACCCACATGGTGGCTAACAACCATCTATAACTCCAGTTCCAGGGGATCTGCCACTGCTTCTGTCCTCTGTGTGCATTGAATGACATGGGTGTACTTCATACACTCAGGCATAGCACTCATACACAGAAAATAAAAATAAATAAAAATTTAAAAAATAACAAGACAATGAGGGAAAACACCAGTTGCTGTAAGAATAGGTTGGGAGCAGAGTAAATATGGGCAGATCACTAGAAAACTGTCCACAGAGGACTTGGGGTGTGACAGTTGTAGAGGGCTTGCCTAGCACGAGTGAAGCAAAAAGATCTCTTAAGTTTAGGAATTCAAGGCCAATATGGTCAACAAAGTAAGACTACAGAAATAAAGAATGGAAGGAAGGAAGGAAGGAAGGAAGGAAGGAAGGAAGGAAGGAAGGAAGGAAGGAAGGAAGGGAAGAAAAGAAGGAACTTATCCAAGAAGTACAGGCAATACAAGTTGATAGCTCATCCCAGGAAGGTTACAGAGAAAAAGAAGTGGTTAGATGGTGGTATTGATAAGACTTGGTGATGGACTGGATATGGGCCAGGAATCAGGAGGTACTGGGACTTCTGGCTTGCCTAACTTGATGAAATGATGTCATTTGCCAGTTGTTACAGAGGATCTAAGCCAGTTTTATCAGTACCATCACTACATGCTGAGAGGTGTTAAGCACGTGGATTCTAGGCAAGCATGTGGATGTGATGCTCAAACTAAAGGCATTTTGTTGCCTGCTTCTCAGCTCTGGCCATGATCATTCCCCGCTCAATGCTGTTCACAGGGAGGTCATATCATGAGTCCTGTTCTTGCTTCACTGTTCCTTGAAATAGACAAAATTAGTTATTTTCTCAGGACCTTGGTATTCACACCAGAGCTATGAGGAAGGTGAGTCAGATGGCCTCTAAAGGGTACAAAGCCGGGTCAGGAAAAGCTAGTGGTTTCTTTTTTATTTGTTTTAGTACGTGTGTGTGTGTGTGTGTGTGTGTGTGTGTGTGTGTGTGTGTACAGGTGTTGTCTTCAGGAACACCATCTATCTTCTTTGAGACAGAGTCTTTTCATTGGCCTAGAGGTCACCAGTTAGACGAGACTGTCTGGTTAGTGCGCTCTAAGGATCTTCAAGTCTCCACCTACCTTCAAGTCTCCCAGCACTGGGATTAAAAAAACCTGCCACCACACCCAGAATTTGTATATGGGTTCTGGGGATTGAACTTGAGTTCTCCTGCTTGAAAGGCATGCCCTTAACTGACTGAGCCATCCCCTAACCCCTGAGGTTGGTGTTTTCTAGATGCTGAACATCTTTCAATCCTGAAGGACCTTGTCCCTCCCCAACCCCAGGGCTTCCACCATGGATACACATCCAACTTGATGCTCATTGTTTGTACTGGTTAGCTTTTGTCAACTTGACACAAACGAGAGACACCTGGGAAGAAGGAACCTCAGATTGAGGAATATCCTCCATCAGATTGGCCTGTGGCCATGTCTGTGGGGCATTTTCTTAGCTAGTAATTGACACAGGAGGGCCCAACCCATTGTGGGTGATACTATCCCTGGGCAGGTGGGTCTGGGCTGTATAAGGAAGATAACTGAGCAAGCCAGAGAAGCAAGCCAGTAAGCAGTGATCTCTGGGTCCCTGCTTCCAGTTTCCTGCCCTGCTTGAGTTTTTGCCTTGGCTTCCCTCCATGATGGACTATGATCAGGAGTTGTGAGATGAAATACACTATTTCCTCTCCAAGTTGCTTTTTGGTCAGTGTTTCATCACAGGAACAGAAATCAAACTAATACCATTCTCCTGTTGTGGCAGATGCATATTTCCTGGATTTCTACTCCTGTGTTCCAGAAAGCAGCCATTTGTTCCAGGACCACGACTAGGGTCTATACAAGCTACCATAACCTCAAGTAACCCTGGACCAACACCAAATGCTTCTTTCCAACTCAGGTTTGGGACACACTACCAGATGGTCCCAGAGGAAATTTAGTTCTCTGTGTGTTTTTATTTCAAAATGAAGCCTATCTTCAGACAACAGAACAAATGTGCCAACATCCTGTTCCAAAAACCAGAATACACAGACTCCCAAGAACTACCAGCCCTTTAGTCAATCTGGCTCCTAGAGAATGCTATTACTGTTCAAGATCCTGTGGCCTTACCGCCTCTCTTGCCACACCAGTAACACAGTACAGAACATGTAGGCAATTGAGCCATGCTGACTGTTACTGGCTTACAATCAACAGTGTGAGGGGCTGCCTTTCAATCTGACCTTCTCTACATAAACTATATCAGTGATTTCCAGCAGAGAAGCTCAAGGTCATATATTAGCATTGTACCATGATGCCTTCATATGGCTTCTCTAAAATGCTTCATTGAGTACTGCCTAAATAAACATGACAACCCAAAGTCTGGCATAAGAGCCAGCACTATGTTGAAATCTATGCACTTGGGCCCAGACCAAGGACTGTCCCATAGAATCCCTAAGAAACTAACCTCTTGGAAACTATCACGATTTAGCCCTACAAGGAACCTGGCACAATTTCCCTAATCCTTACTTTGGCCATCATTTAAGTGATCCACATGGCCCTGTGCTCTGCTCAAAGCCAGCCCTGTTCACTACTCTGCACCCACCTCAGAGTCCCTGAATCAAATAAGTGTCATCTAACTTTCTCTTCCACAGATGAGAACATTCCCTATGGATGGAAGCCTTCTATATTTAATTACTTCTCTAGGGTATAAGGTTTATCCCTCGATGGTAAACATGTCAGTTTTATATAATGTCTGCTATGCTGTAATTTCTTCCTTGTAAGGGAAGCCTATTAGAGTTAAACTGCTGGTTGCTTGCCAGCCAATGTATTAATTGTCCTTGGTCAAATGCCAATCCTTAGTTTAATCAGCTGGCTTGACTTCAGGGGATGGGATAGGTCATGTGGTGTTAAGCAGGACAGCCTGTTGCTGGTGCTCCTGAAGGCTGCCAGTGCACAGAGCATCAAGTAACTTATCTCAAGGCTTCATTTGAACAAATACACCTAGTAAATCAGAATGTACCCAAATAGGTTTGTCATTATTTAGTTGACATCTTTCTCTCTCTGACTAGATAAGAAGTTGCATGGATGTACATAGTAGGTGCTCAATAGTTACTTTTCAATGAAGAAATAAATTCCTGAATAAAGCTGAAAGTCTATGAAGTCAGAAGTTGGAAAAGCCATGAGAGGAATTGAATGAATCAAAAATCTGATTTCAGTTACAAGTAAGCCAGCTTATGAATAAGCAGAATCTGTGATGCATAAAAGACCCACAGAGCAGATGACGGGAACGCCAGGCAGAAGCGTGGCAGGCACAAAGGAAGTGATTAAGTCACCCGGGAGTAAATTCCTTGAGTCCAGAGCTTCCCTCCTATTCCAGTTCTTCCTGATTCTAATTGCTCACCCTTCCCTGGGTTCCCATGAATATGTGTCCTTACAATAAAACTTACTCCTAAAGGGTAGTGAATTGTTTCTTCCTGTTAGTCTCAACTTGGGGGATAACACATGAGCCTTGAGAAATTCAATTAGTACATAGCCCATGAACCCATGTTCCTTTCTGTGAGGGGAATGCTGGTCAGACTGTATAGAAATGTCTTGATTTTTTTTTTTTTTTTTTTTTTTTTTTAAAACAGGGTCTCCCTGTAGCCCCAGTTGGCCTGGAACTCACTTTGTAGACCCGACTGGCCTTGAACTCACAGAGATCCGCCTGTCTCTGCCTCCCAAGTGCTGGGACTAAAGGCATGTACCACCATGCCTGGCCTCTTGATATATTTTAATTCATAGTGGAGACACCACTTAGACTCTATAAAACCCCTACGATATATATTTTATTATCACATGTTTCAAGAAAATCCTCCTCATACTGATGTAAGGGCAAACAAATTTGCTTGACCAAACCCTGCATTTTAAAATTGGATATTAGAAAAAATTATGTTAGAATAATTTTTTTTAATTTATTATTTTATTTTATGTGTACCAATGTATTGCTTGCAGTATGTTAGAGTACCTATGTCATGCCATGCCCAAAGAGGTGAGAAGAGGGTGTTGGATCCCCTGAAACTGGAGTTAGGATGGTTGTTAGCCACCATATGGGTGCTGGGAATCAAACCTGGGTCCTCTGCAAGAGCAGCCAGTGCTCTTAACTGCTGAGCCATCTCTCCAGCCCCAAGTTAGAATAATTTTTATGAAAAGTTATGAGAATAATTTTCATGGTCACCAATACTATTTGTTATGCATCATTAATTATTTAATTGACCAGCCAAACTGTCAATTAACCCCGTGGTCTTGAGACCTTTTTGTATCTAGATATTCTAATTTCCTATTGCTGCTGTAACAAGTTACCACATATTAATGGACTAAACGTATTGAATGCCTAAACAACACAAACTCATCTCATAGTTTAGTGGGGTAGGAGATGGTGCAGACCTCACTAGATTCAAAGCAAGGTATCATCAGAGCTTTAGGGAATAACCCTCACCTCACCCTTTTCATCTTCTACAGGTTCTTGGTTCCCATCTTCCATTTCCAAAGCCAGCACTGGTGAGCACTGTCTACACCACATCTCTGACCCTCTTTATAGTTCCATCTCATTCCAACTCGCCTCAGCTGGGAAAGACTCTGCAAGGATTCCAGAATAATCTTGCATGTCAAGTCCATTAACCTTACTTAATTACATCAATATAGTCCCTTTTACCAAGTAATGTGACATAGTCGCAGATTACTTTGGATTAGGACCTGCATCTTTTCAGAGAGCTGTTTTCTGCCTACCACAGTATAATTACCAGTTCCTCTGTGGTCTGATAAGAACACCTAGGACAAGACAGTAGTCAAGGGGCTGAAGAGATGGCTCAGTGGTTGAAAGCACTGACTGTTCTTTCGCAGGCAATACACTCATACACATAAGAATAAAAATAATAAATAAAGTATTTTTTAAAAAGACGCTAATCAAGATGTGTCTCAAAAACACACATTGCTAGAAAGAGGAAACCTCACAATGAGAAATAAAATGTAGCCCTTTCCATTAAAGATCAGCAGAACTGGTTGTGTTGGATTACACTTGTAAACTCCACACTTGTTAGGTGGAGGTAGGAGGATTCAGAATTTGAGGCTAGCCTGGGCTATACAATGGGTGTCTCTTTAAAAAAAGATATCAGTAAAAAGGGAAGAGATTTGCCTTCAGCCTCAATGTACCTGGTACAGTGAACTTTATCTCATTTAGCTTTCATACCAATTCTTTCCAATAATAGTATCTTCATTTTGTGTGTGTGTGTCTTTTTGAAGCAGGGTCTCCCAGTAGCCCCAGCTATCCTGGAACTCACTATGTAGACCAGGCTGGCCTTGAACTCACAGAGATCTGCCTGACTCTGCCTCACAAGTGCTGGGACTACAGGCGTGTGACACCACGCCTGGCTAGTATCTTCATTTTTATAGTTTAGAAAAGGTAGATTCTGAGTAGTTAAGTAATTTGTGCAAAGTTAAGCTGGAACTTCAACTAGACCTGCCAGGCACTCAAACCTACACACTTTCCACATTTCTACATGACTGCCCAAATTTCTGTGCAATTTAGCTCAAATATATAAAAATGGATATACCACTGGATAAAAGCTTCCCTTGAGGGATTTAAGTGAAACTTTCTTGGTTATTTATTTATTGATTGATTTATTGATTGACAGGATCTTGCCATGTTTTTCAACTTGGTCTTGAACTCCTGGGCTCAAGCAATCCTACTGCCTCTGCTTCCCAAGTAACTGGGACTACAGTGTGTGAGACCACTGGCTAGACTCATTAAAGACATACCTGTCAGTCATTGAATACTTCAAAGAAAACATGATTCCAGGACAGAATGCGTCCTCTATTTCCCTACTCTGCTAGACACTAAAGAAAAGACTGAATGATTCTGCCATTTTATTAAGTAGGAGGACTGTGGATCTGAGGGCTGCTCATGAAGATTTGCTGATCAAACTCAAATTCATGCTCTAATCAGTCCTCTCTCTCTGTGTGTGTGTGTGCATGTGTGCTCATATGTGTGCATGGGTGCCCTGTGTATATACGCATTTGTATGGGTGCTCATGTATTAGTGTGTTTGCATATATAGAAGCTAGAGGTCAATTGCAGGTGTCACTCCTCGGGAGTCATCCGCCTTGTTTTTTGGAGACAGTTTCTCACTGGGACATGGAGCTTTCCAGTTAGACTAGGCTGGATGACTGACAGATTTGCCTATCTCTGCCCAGCACAGGGGTTACAAGCAAGTGCTACCATAGCCTTCTTTCGATATGGGTTCTGAGGACTGAACTCGGGTCCTCATGTTTTTTTAGCAAGGACTTTATCAACTCAGCTATATCTCCAGTCCCCCTCCCTTGTTAAAATCAATGACACTCAGATAAATGTGGATCTGAGAAGCCAGTGAAGAAGACTAACCCTCATTCCTAATCATTTAGCTACATTCACCAGCACGGTTACAGACCAGGCTCACCGAAGATGCATTGGCAGCAGGAGAGAAGCACAGTGACTTTTGAAGCTTGTATTTGGAGAGCCCTCTCCTCTGCTGGGTCTGGCTATCTGCCTGTTCTCCTCCGGCCCTGCCTCTCCTTCCACATTTCCTGTGACCCTCTCTAAGGCTGACTGTTTGATCAACAGTTCTTCTCTCTGCAGACTGTTTGCATGTACTTTGGTCATCCTATCTTGCTCTGCCCTCTGACATTTATTTGCTCTTGATTTCTGTTGATTAATTGGCCTCTGTCTTACAACTGCCCAAACCCTTGCACTTCTCGTTGTGGCCTTGTTCTCGCAAACCCTCAGCCTGGTACCATTTTCAGCATGACTACCATTTCTGTCTAGAGTTATGTAGAGGCAATTCCTTCATGTACTACTTTGGTGCCGACTTCCCTCAGGTCCTTCTATAATTAAATCCATTTCCTGAAATCAGCAATAATCTAGGTATATGATTAACTTTTTCATTAAACTTTTTATTTATTTTTATTTTGTGTGTACACATGCATATGTGTGTGGAGAGGGGTATATGCATGTCATGACACGTGTGTGGCGGTCAGAGGACAACTTGCAGGAATCCGGTCTCTCCTTCCACCATGTGTGTCCAGGGATCAAACCCAGGTCATTAGGCTTAGCAGAAAGTGCTTT